GATTGGAGGCCCGTCCTACGTTACAAAATTGCAATTCACTGTGCCCGAGATTGCATTAATTAAGGAATCCACCTGTTCTAGTAAACAAATTTCTGCAGGTTGAGTTAAAATATGCGGGCAATAACCAGCTAGCTAAGATATTCCGATACATATAGCATTCGAAATAAACAAAATACTAGTTTGGCTTATATTCAAATTAGTACAGGATTTTCACCTGATCGACCTGAGCCCTATATAAAGCGCTCCACTGGCGTAGCTCAGGCCATAATCAATTTGAAGATCGTGTAAGATCAACGGAACGAAGAAATCTATATCGCGTGCGAGGAGAGGATTTGCATAAATTGAGTCTGAGTGATAATGGTAAATGGGTTGGGACATGTGGCAATGGTTACGTAACGGCCCTTTAGTGCGAAAGGAGTGGACTTTAAGGAGCCTGGAGAACAATGAAACAAACTTGTAAACTATGAAAATAATTAATTATAACATATAATAAATGTAAAAAGCTTATGAAAATTCTTCAAATACAAGAGTTATTGATTGTTTGCCATTGTAACCATTTCAAGACGATATTGTTCTAATGACTTCTATTGTTTCTTTATAACTACCAACAGACCAGCTATACTGACAAAGGAACCAAAGTAAGTGCGAATATATATGCTAATATAAGATCGTACAATTCCAACCCACTTTCCACCTTACTTCCAGCCTGAAGCCGGCAAATTTCTAAGCTTTGATCACCTGACCTTCTACGTTGGCAACGCCAAGCAGGCGGCCAGCTACTATACCACTCGTCTGGGCTTCGAACCACTTGGCTATCAGGGATTAGAGACCGGGGAGCGACGCTTCGCCAAGCATGCCGTGCGCCAGAACAAGATCGTCTTTGTGTTCGTCTCCGCCTACACGCCGGATGACGAGGAGCATGGACTCCACCTGATGCGCCATGGCGATGGTGTCAAGGATGTAGCCTTCGAAGTGGAGGATTTGAATGCCATTTTTACGCTGGCGGTGTCCCGTGGAGCCGAAGTGGTCCGTGACATCTGGGAGGAGAGCGATGATCAGGGATTCGTCAGATTCGCTACCATTAAGACGGTACGTGGAACACAACAAATATTTTTATGTTCTGGAAAACTTAGGTATTAATCCTAAATTCCTTTCCATAACTTGCATGTAGTACGGCGATACCACCCACACATTTGTGGAGCGCAATGGCTACGCTGGAGATTTCCTACCTGGATTCCAGCGGTCGCCTAAGGATGTTCTTCTAAATGGATTGCCCGCCACCAAACTGAACTTCATTGATCACGTGGTGGGCAACCAGCCGGATCTGCAAATGGAGAGCGTGGCCTCCTGGTACGAGAGAGTCCTGCAGTTCCATCGCTTCTGGTCGGTAGACGACTCGCAGATTCACACGGAGTACTCCGCCCTGCGTTCCATCGTGATGGCAAACTACGAGGAGACGGTGAAGATGCCGATCAATGAGCCAGCCAATGGTAAAAAGAAGTCGCAGATCCAGGAGTACGTAGAGTACTACGGCGGCGGTGGTGTCCAACACATTGCACTCAACACGGATGACATTATTCAGGCGGTTAGCAACCTAAAGGCTCGAGGAACCGAGTTCCTGACCATACCATCCTCGTACTACGAGATCCTTCAGGAGCAGCTTTCGCATAGCCGCACCAAGATCAAGGAGGACATGGAGGTTCTGAAGAAGTTGAACATTTTGATAGACTTCGACGAGAACGGATACCTGCTGCAGATCTTCACGAAGAACTGCCAGGACAGGCCCACTCTCTTCCTTGAAGTTATCCAACGCTACAATCACAATGTAAGATTTATTGCTTAAACTACTATTGCTAAGAATAAGCTAATTCATAATGAAAACTATTTCAGGGGTTTGGCGCTGGCAACTTTAAGTCCTTGTTCACGGCCATTGAAATCGAACAAGCCAAGCGAGGAAACTTGTGAATCAAATGTGATCAATTGAGATTTAACAAAAGTAATAATAAATGAAAATGTCTAAACAGAATAACTACTGATAAATTGATTGCCTAATTGTCACTTGTTTAATCTCTGGTCCCAAAATCGATTGTCTATCAAAACTTCGTTACGTGGGTCGCCTTCTGCGAAGGAAACCATGTGGGGATTCCAGAATCCCGGTGGCGTTGAACTGCGAGCGTCTTCATGCCGGCACTTGGCCAAATAATCTTTGATCTTCGCGTCAGTCAGATTTGAACCCATAAAGTTTATGAACTAAGTGGATGGAATTTAAAATAAATATTATTTGGTTGCGGAAGGTCGAGAAAAATGCACACACCTTTTCGCATTCGCCGCACTCAATGTTGAAACGTTCTTTGACCGTTAGCTCAGGTTCTTTCTTGATCAAAATCGGTCGCGGAAACTCCTCCTCCGAGTCCTTGCCATCCTCTTCTGTGATATCCATAAGATACTTTTCAATATCTTCGGGTAGTTTTGTTGATTCGTTGCCAATATCTGTTTCTGGCTGGGATATAGGTTCAATTTTCACAGCTTTGGTAACTGGAATGACGCTCTGCACTTTTGGGAGAGTTGGTCGGATCTGCTTCTGCTGGTCAATCATAACCTTCTCGTACTGTCTTAAAGCACTTGAGCAGGTATCGTCATCATCCTTCAAAATTTCGGCCAGAACATCCATGGTGCCCAATTTGCTTACATCCTCGGGGGTATCATTCACAAAGATTATATCCTGGGTAGCAGGCGTCAATAAAACTACACTATCTGAGGTGTTGTTGATTTGTAATCCTGGAGGCGTATCCGGTGGGGGCATTATCTGACTCTCCGAGCCATCCATTTTGAACTCATCCATTTCCAACTGAAAGCTTGGATTGATGGTCTTGACTGCGCTATTGCTGGTGGTGGTAAACGAGCCGTCTGCGTTTGCAACGCTCGCGTTGTCTGTTCTGCAAGCTTGGATCTTAGTATTAAAAAGAAAGCTAACTAAAAGTGTCACAGTAATCTTAAGAAATGTTGCAATATAATTGAAAGATACTTCTGTGACACTTTTTGAATAATTTGTTGTGATAATTACCTCTGCATTAAAGATCTTGGTGGCCTAGATCTCTTCAGACTGGTGCTCAAGTTCGGACTCTCCTCTATGACTTCCTTTTCACTTGTGCACGTCCTATTTGCTTCGAATTTTAGGCGAGTTTGCTTCAAGTGCATGTTGTTACTTTTGTGCGTGAGTGATAACTTTGTGAGGACTCCCTGGTTCTTGGGTGTCTTGCGGGTCCAACTATTCCCAACGGCGGAAATATTGTTTGGCTGCACATTCTCCAGATCCCGGATGTCCGGTTTCCGATTTGGCAATCTCAGTTTGCGCGGGCTCAGGACAGTGGTCTCCGTTTCGGTAATGCTCTCGTCCTCCTCCATTTCTTGCTCCTCGTCAGAGAGATCGATATTGCTGATGGCTATGTTCATGTTCAGGGAGTTTTGGCTTTGTGGCTGCGGCGAAATGTCATCCTTAATTTTTTTGGGCGACAGCTTCCTGCGCTTCTCCGCCTGTACCAAGGATCGCTGCCGGTCCTTCAGCAAATCCAAGGCTTTGTGCAGCTTTTCATTGTGGATCTTTAGCTGTTCTATAGTCTTGGCACTCTCCTCGGAATCTCGTTGCATCACTAAAAGTAATATAACATAACAACTAAAAAAAATGTTATGATCTTGGCTTACTTAAGGCGTGCTCTTTGATTGTGTCCAAAGCGGCTATAAGGCACTTCAAGCTCCTCTCCTTGTGACCCCGACATGTTCCACACGTCATGCTTTTAAAATTGGATAATTTTAACTGATTTAATAAAGATAGATAAGTTTTAATTGACTTTATTTAATAAAGAATTTGTTTGTTTTTTCCGCGTCGACGTGCAGTGTGGCCGCATTTATACTGAATACCGCATAGCTGAAACATGAACTTAATGTTGGTATATTTTATAAACCTGTTGGTATTTGTTAGCCGACCAACTGGGGTCCTACGCTCTCGTGTAAATTTTATTTTTCACCCGCTAAACATAATTTATTAAATAAATTAAGATTACTTGGCTATGGCACACCTGCGGGAAACCACGGACAAGGCGCTGAAGCTGTTACGCACTTTACCGCGCGTTCAGATCGGCAATCTGCGGCCAAATCCAAACTCAAAACAGAATGTGAGTGGTTAAATAACAGCATGCAGTCAATAAACTATTAACAAATATTTTGTTTATCTTTTCGGCAGGACAAGCGTGGCAGGGCACAACACGGGGGAGATAAGCACGGAGCGGGCAACAAGGGATCCGGACAGAGGCAGAACTTCATGCGATTGGGCTATGAAACGGGCAATCAGCCTTTCTACTTGAGATTCCCCTACGAACCTTACTACAAGGGACACCACCTGAAGCGCCAGTATCCGCCCATTTCGCTGCTCCAACTGCAAGTCCTCATCGACACCAACAGGATAGACATCAGTCAGCCCATCGACATCAGTACGCTGTGTAACTCTGGCCTCCTGAAACTGAAACCCGCTGAAATGGAGTATGGATTCCAGCTGACGGACGATGGACTGGACAATTTCCAGGCCAAGATCAACATTGAGGTGCAGCACGCAAGCGAGGCGGTTATAGCGGCCATAGAGAAGAACGGCGGTGTAATCCGTACCGCCTATTACGATCCACGCAGCCTTCATATGCTGGCCAATCCGAAGAAGTGGTTCGAAAAGGGAGTGCCTATTCCCAGCCGCATGCTGCCTCCCCAAGATGCAGTGGACTACTATACGAATCCCAAAAATCGCGGCTACCTGGCCAATCCCGAGGCGATCAGCCAGGACCGCCTGGTGCTGGCCCAGAAATACGGCTATCAGCTTCCAAAAATTGAAGAAGATTCCGCATACGAAATGCTCACCACTACGAAGGATCCCAGGCAAGTATTCTATGGCCTGGAACCCGGCTGGCTGATCAACATAGTGGACAAAACGATCATTAAGCGCAAGCAATAATTTGTCGAGTTTGTTACTAGGCATTTTGTTAAATAAAGAATTGGGTTACAAAAAGCTTTGTTAGACTATGATACTGTAAGACATATGATGTGTCCTTGTCATTTCAAGTTTATATGAACACCTGCTTCGCCGATAGATCCTCCATGAACGGCTTTACCACCGCACTGGTGGCGAAGCAAAATATCAATCCGAACGTAATTGAGATGGGCAGGGCGGGAAGCGCCTTGCGCCAAATGGCCAGAAGCAGGAGGGTGAGGCAGAGTCCAATCAGGATGGCCACAAAGCAAGCGATTGTGGTCGTCCAGTCGCCGTAGCTGGAGGCCTTGCCCACTAATACAGAGTAGAAGATGAAGTCACCGAGCCCAAGCTTAATGCCACCTACATTAAATAGTTTGTCATGACACGGCTATGATTATAATAATAATATACATACGTTCTTCTTGCCCATCCGGATGATTCTGATCTGGAGCTGTTACTGTCCTATACTCGTTAGAGCGCTGGGCGTTTCCGCTCTGAGTACTTTGCACTTCAATCTGGCGACGAGCCACTCGTTCACTCAAATTAGCAGACCATTCTTGTGTGAAACCCGCAGCTTCAGCTAAAAGTAAGTAAAAATAAAGTTTTTAAGGTGTAGTCTTACAAAAGGCCCTCAAATAGATTACTAGCAGCGCTTTATACCATATGTCCAACATTACTAAACAAGACAATAAATACGTGAAAGTACAAAAACAGACCAAATGCCAAATAAGCCATGTACACATTTGAGAAAAGTAGATAAATTATAAAAAAATATAATGCATATGTACCGTTTCCGCGCAAATTGCTTTTAAAAGTCACAAGTGGCATACCTTCAGTTGCCAGTACACTGCCGTCATCCCGCTGATTCTGTCGAGGATGGGAGTTACCTGTGCGTGAGCCACTTGTCGCTGCTGCCTCCGGCGAAGCCAGCGAGTTCTGCGTGGCTCTCGTGGTTGTGGTGGAGTTGCTGGATGACGGCGATGAGGATGCAGTGGCCTGCGATTGCTGGGGCGTGACAGTGTTTACAAGCGCGTAAACGACGGTGGCTAAAATATATATATATTAACAATAACATCAAAAGTGTTGAGCAGATGGATGATTAGTACATGAGTAAATCAGAGCGGGGAAGATTTGCTCATTTCGCTCCTGGGCTGTTTCCACCAGTATGCGGAGGGGTCCTCTTGGAGAGAGGACAGCAATGAGATCTATAAACAATTAAAAATCTCTTAGTAACACCAGCATCTTAGCCGTACAGCTGGATCAAGCTCACCCCAAATGGAAATGGCAGCCAATACAGCCCAGGCAGTCCATTCAGGCAGGTATTTTATGAACACTAAAGCCATCAAGGCTGCCACAAAAATAAGATATCCTTGCTGCAACCGCAGAGGGCCCTGCCAATGGATGGACATCATTCCGACCACTCCAAAGTTCCACATAATTAAGAGCGCAGTAGGGTAGTCCATAGGAATGTTATAGGCGCGAAGAAGCTCTCTGAATTAGACAAACTATTAGTTGTACATTAACCGAAAGACTTGGACAGCTTACTCCAAATATAAGTACGTAAAAATGAACAACAACATGAAGGAGGAGAGAATCAGCCAGCCGTGAATGATGCGATAGCAACGCTTCTTGTACAAAACAATCAGCAGAAAGGTCATCACCACCACCACGCTCATCAGGATCAGGGAGTTCGCCAAGGCACTCCAGAACTTAACACTAGGTTCGGGCGATTGTTCATGGAAAGGCGTGTAGAGGCTGGGGATAAAAGATACATTTAGCCGAGACCGATACTACCGGAAATTTGAATTCTTGTTAACCATACAGATAGACATCCGTGCTGTTGTAGAAGCTGATCGAGTTGATTGTGGCCACCACCACCAGCATGCAAAGGGAGACGGGCACAAATAATTTGATTACATGCTGAGCGCCGTATTTGAGGCCCTGTTCCTCCTCCATTTCAGCACTACCGCCTCCCCCTCCGGGTAGTCTTGAAGAGCGCGGTCCACCAGGTTCCCGCATCACCACATTGGGCACAGCAAGTATTGCCTGGCAGGAAAAGGGATTCGATAGTTGAAATTGCATTCAACAAAGTTGTCAGTCGGTATACGCACTGCATCCGGTTGATCCTGATTGCTGGAGCCATAATTGTTCCGTGGCTGTTGACGCCTTGGAGGTCGCTCCAAACGCTCCGCCTCGCCGATCTGGCTGCCCACATTGGCATCGTCCTCGGAGGCGAGCCCGGAGGAGCACGAAGCCTGAAGATTGACAGCAGCCATCAGTGGTGTGCGTTCGTTCGCCTCCGTAGCGCTGGACGCCTCCCCCTGTGAAGCCGTAGTTGTGTGATGGAACTTCGTTGGGATCCCCACCGATTAGTATCGGGCTTGACACTTGGATGATCTTGACTACTCACAGTTAAAGAACCCAAAGGAAGAGTAGCTGCTTAAAACTTTCTTTTGTTTTAAAGCGACTCATAAACTAGTGATGGCAGTGCGCTCGGCCCGCAAAGCTATCGATTTTCGATTGCTCTAGTGGCTTTAAGGGAGTACTTATAATAGTTATGAAGGAACATGATAGAATTATTTGTAAGTGCAATTACACACAAATTAAAAATAGTATAAACCCCTTTCTGAATCTTTAGTCCCCTTTCCTAATAAATATAATACTGAACAGCGATACATTTATGTAGAATAAATACCGAAACCCGCTTATATAGGAACAGCTGTTCTCCACAGAAAGTGCCTAGAAAACGGCAACGGCCAAACGATAATATAAATATTTCATAAGTTTCGACAAGCTAAATAAATCGTTTTTAATCACTTAGTTGCTCAATAATTTATATGTTCGGCATGTTGCGAGCTTTAAAAACGCACGTGGAGGCCCCAATAGTCGTAGCCACCGTAAGCAATAGCTTAGAAAGTACATATAAAAGCAACTTATTTTGATTAAATAATAACAGCGTGCGGTATCAACAAATGCGGAAAAGCTCGAAGAGATTCGCGAACGTCTGGCAAAGGGTCCGAATTTCCAGGACTTTGTCCAGAATCCGGAGAACTCCAGAAGCGAGTGGGAGAAGTACGAGGGAAAGCTTCGTCGCGAAAAGGGCGAGGAGCAGCGCCTGCGACTGCCGCCGTGGTTGAAAACTACCATTCCCGTGGGCAAGAACTACGCCAAAATCAAGGCCCAGATGCGCGAGCTCAAGCTGTCCACCGTCTGCGAGGAGGCCCGGTGTCCCAACATCGGCGAGTGCTGGGGCGGCGGCGAGCATGGCACCCAGACTGCCACGATTATGGTGAGGGAACAGAAAAAGGCTCCCCACGGTGACCTTTGCTGATAACCGAACATGGTCAGATAGTCGACAGAATTTTCCACAGTTTTAAGCGGATTTTAACAACGATACTTGGGTTTAAAATTACGAAAGTTGCCTGCTTTGGAGTCTACAATTGGTTTTAAGCCCTGAGGCAAAGAATAATGTAAAATACACTTTTTACTAATATATTTTTTCCCCAGCTTATGGGCGACACTTGCACCAGAGGCTGTCGATTTTGTTCGGTAAAAACGGCTCGCAGACCTCCACCGCTGGATGTAAATGAACCCGTGAACACAGCCACGGCAATTGCTTCCTGGGGCTTGGATTACATTGTGCTTACTTCAGTTGATCGCGATGGTAAGTACTGGAATGGTTTTTGACTCGTCAGACCTTGAAATGCTTTTTTTTTACCAAAGATTTGCCAGACGGCGGATCGAAGCACATTGCCGAAACTGTTCGCGAAATCAAGGCGCGGTAAGAGGATACAATTATGTATTTAAATTGTTCGCACTTTATCAATACTTCATGTTTAGCAACTCAAACATCTTTGTGGAGTGCCTGGTACCAGATTTCCGAGGCAATCTGGAGTGCGTCGAGACGATCGCCAACAGCGGCCTGGATGTTTATGCGCACAACATAGAGACGGTAGAGAAGCTCACACCCTATGTGCGAGATAGGCGCGCCCACTACCGCCAGACACTGCAAGTACTAACCGAAGCGAAGCGATTCAATCCCAATCTGATCACTAAGAGTTCCATTATGCTGGGACTTGGTGAGACCGACGGGGAGATTGAATGCACCTTGAAGGATCTGCGCGAGGCCGGCGTCGATTGCGTGACCTTGGGTCAGTACATGCAGCCCACAAATAAGCACCTGAAGGTCATCGAGTACGTCACTCCCGAGAAGTTCAAGCACTGGGAAGAGCGCGGTAACGCATTGGGCTTCCTGTACACAGCCAGTGGACCGCTAGTTCGCAGCTCCTACAAAGCCGGCGAGTTCTTCATTACTAGTATATTGGAGAACCGAAAGAAGAGGCAAAACGCCACTGAAATTGCCAAGGAGTAGTAAAATTGCAATGCCTGTCTAAGCCGATCATGGATAGCTTTAGTTCAGCCTTTTATTCGCTACACCCGCGCATGTTGTGCAATGTATATATTAGATGACAAACATACTGTTCTGAAATAAAATCGAATTGTTTCTAGTTTTAAATTAAGTAAGTTATTTACTTACAAGTCTTGTTGTTAGCATACTTTTCAAACTACGCGCTATTTAAGTGTTGAAATAGTTCCATTTGTGGCGTTAGGAAATTGTATGGGTGCTTTCTTTCCTCAGAACATTTGGGCACACTACATTGAATGCACTATCTGGTCTATTATTGTTTTCTTTTTGTTGCGAGTTTGATTGGATTGGATTGGATAGAAGAAGCCTAGTAAAAAGACAAAGACCCATCGTAGAGATGCCTCGCCTCGTCAATGGCCGCGAAGCCGCACCCACGTACTCTAATCTGGTAAGATTTAGGCCAAATGTATCGAGTAAGGGACTCCGTTCACCACAACAAAGAACTAAAAACGCATATGTTGCATGTTTGTTTTGATGTTTGCGCAACAAATTTGTTTTTAGTTTCAGTCCTCAGAAGTCAGGAAGATGTGTGCGCATATTTGAGTGGATATACATAAGTGGAAATATTAGAATCTCCGCAACAACGACCACTTGCACAATTTTTGCTTCGTGTGCACATATTTTTCCATCCCACAATTTGTACACCTGTCGCTCCGCGAGTTACAATTTGCTTTTCTATCCACAGGTTGGCTTCATATTTATTTTCAATCTTATCGTTGGAACTGGAGCTCTGACGCTACCCGGGGTTTTTGCCAGGGCAGGATGGATGCTTTCCCTGATAGTAATTGTTCTGCTGGCCATTATCAGTTACATGACGGTCACTTTTATTATAGAGGCAATGGCTTGTGCCAACGCCATCAGGAATTGGCAAACTCTGCAGGCCCTGCGCCAAAGTCGAAGTTCCGCTGAGAACAGTGAAATCGATGATAATGCTGATGATGTTTCCCTGGCATCGGGTGCCGAGCAAGCTGGAGATTTCGAGCGCGTTCCTCTGACCATTCAGAACCGGGAGTTTCACTACTATCAGCTGTCCCACAAATTCGAACTGGGCGAAATGGCGACACTATTTTTCAATGAGTTCGGCCGCATAATGTTCTATCTGTGCCTGATTGTTTATCTTTACGGGGATCTGAGCATATATTCCGCCGCCGTGGCTAGAAGTCTGCGTGACGTCGTATGGTAAGTACTTGAAAAATTACCAACTTACATTAAGATCAATCAGAAAAATATTAAATTAAGTTGGAAATCGTTTGCCGAGATATGGAAACGTATAAATAAAATAAAATATAGCTATTTAAATAACCCGTCTTGTTTTAGTGATCAAACAAATGGAACGGATACTAATAACTTGATGTATTGGCTAGGAGACTTTGAGAACAATACATCTCGGGCATGCTGGAAGGAACATACAATATCTCGCTTGAACATGTACAGGGTGTTACTCATAGGATTCACATTGATCTTCGGGCCATTTGTGTACTTCAATGTACAAAAAACGAAGTACTTGCAGATGCTGACCGCTACCTTCCGGTGGATGGGTACGTTCGAATTATGTAGAACCGATTAGATAATAACATTTCCTATTTCAGCTTTTACTCTGATGATCTGCATATCACTAAAACTTTTGATTTCTAGGGGTCCCAAAGGTCACCCAGAAACCTTTAATGTGTATGGAATACCCTCGCTTTTCGGCGCCTGTGTCTACTCCTTTATGTGCCACCATTCGCTGCCCAGTTTGTTGGCGCCCATCCGGCACAAGTCAATGGTTTCCAAAATTCTATCCTTTGACTATATAATCATTTGTGCATTTTACATTCTGTTGGCCATGACAGGCATTTTCGCCTTTGAACGAATCGAAGACCTTTACACATTAGATTTTTTGCCCTTCGATGTCGCATACGTAGACTTCTGGTCAGGTCTATTAATTTGCATTGATTATTTTCTAGCGCTTTTCCCCATTTTTACTCTGTCAACCAGTTTTCCCATTGTTGCCATAACGCTGAAGAACAATCTTCAATCTTTATTCTTAGACATGTCGCAATATGAATCCTATAGCGTTGTCCTACGCATATGCTTCCCTTTGCTGGCTATTATTCCGCCGTTTTGTATCACTTATTTTACTGAAAGCTTGTCCAGTTTGGTGGCATTTACTGGTACCTACGCAGGCACTGGCATCCAATATATTATCCCAGTATTCCTGGTTTACTTTGCAAGGCGCACTTGCTCAGAACTCCTGGGAAGCGGCGTAGTTAATCGTTTTCAAAGTCCTTTTAAGTCCAGTGGCTGGCTAATTTTCGTTCTCATTTGGTCAATTTTATGCGTCTGTTTGGTATCTATAAATTTGTTCAGTTAAGTTGTTTTAGCTGCCAATGTGTACATATTTTAAGGAGTTGAGCTTATTACTGGTTAGTAAAGTACCATGTGAATTAATTTTAAAGAAAGATTATCCATCTTATGTAGCTGTACATATTTAATAAAAATATATGTAAAATAAGCGAACTTAAGTAAGTAATGTAATGTAAGTCAGTATTGAAATCGGCTGTGAAACATATCTTTCCAATTTATTTTTCATATAACGTCTGGAATGTGAAATCCTGCATATAAAATGAGGTCGTAATCAATTTTTATTAATTATAATCGAATCTTTAACTTATAAATTTATTAAAAAGATATATTAAAAGGTTTAATATAAATTGTTAGTTCAGTACTGAAATTTAAAATCTACATGTATTTATCTTACAAATAAAAATAAAAGACTTCCGTCAGGTGTGTTTGTATTCGTTTTTGAGATCGCTCAATGAAAATAAACAAATAATATTAGCTTAAGAGAAACGAAAAAGTGCTCTAATTTTGTGTTTAATATAAAATAATGTAAGTATGAAAAATGCGGTTTTTTTTTAATTTTTAAAAGTACTATTCTGTGTTTTGACCAGTAATGCCAATATTTTTCTGAAAAAAAGGACGGATTGAGAAAAAAGAAATAGGCTGCAAATTTCAAAAAAGGATGAAAAAACAGGACAGATTTTTTTTATGATTATTCTTTATTTAGTCAACTTTTAATTTAATATTTTAAATGTTTCGTCCACGACGCATTCGACCTCAACGTTTGATTCATACGTTGCCATTGTGCCAATGCGTTTCAAATTTGTTCAAGAGGGATACCAATGTGATCTTGCAAGTAATCACACTTAAGAACACATATGTGTATGTGTATTTATTACCCTACACTGAAAGGGAAATATATTTTTATGTTATGCTCGTATACAAAGTGCTACTAAATTAATCTCGAGCTGTAAGTAATTAAATATTAATCTATTATTTTGTCATAATTATATTAGTGAGTGAAATAGTGAGGTCTTTAAAGTGAGTAGTAAAAATTGTCTTAAGTACAGCCTGAAGAATGTTTAACTTACTGTCTGAATTGCCGCTTTTAATATTTGCTCAGGAAAAATATTTTCTTGTATCCCTATAATTCCCAACTAGTTCTAGTGAAGACTGTAAGGCATGTCTTCTAATTTAGAGTCGCAAAATAGTTCAAGTAATTCTCTTACCGGTCGAGCAGTGAGTGTAGTGTATGTACCGGTGTATGTATGTATGTATGTATGTATGTATGTAAATACGTATGTATGTATGTACGTGAGTATGTATGTATGTATGTATATATGCATGTATGTATGTATGTATGTATGTGTGCATATATGTATGTATGTATGTGTGTATATATGTATGTATGTATGTAGTGTACGTATGTATGTAGTGTACGTATGTATGTAGTGTACATATGTATGTAGTGTACATATGTATGCAGTGTATGTGTTACTTGCACAAAGTAGTAGAAATTGTGTAATTAAAGCCTGAAAGATGTTTAACTTACTGTCGGAACACATACTTATTGCCGTTTTTAATATTTGCTTAGGAAAAATATTTTCTTGTAGCCCTATAATTCCCAACTAGTTCTAGTGAAGACTGTAAGGCATGTCTTCTAATTTAGGGTCGCAAAATAGTTCAAGTAATTCTCTTACCGGTCGAGCAGTGAGTGTAGTGTATGTGTTCTTAAGTGTGATTACTTGCAAGATCAAATTGGCATCCCTTTAAAGTGAGTAGTAAAAATTGTCTTTAATAAAGCCTGAAAAATTTTTGACATTTTTTCCGGTTGAAGCAGTAAAAAACAGGACAGATCTGTCCCGAAAAAGGCTAAATTGGCATCACTGGATTTGACGGATAAAAACGGAAAATCAGTTTCAGAGTGACCGTTGTTCTGTTTTTAAACGTGCATTATCGAGCTGTCAATCGAAATATCTTCCACCTCTAAAGTGTCCCGGTTTGTTTTTATTTTTCTATTGCATTACAATACATTAAAATACATTCACTAGTTTTTAAAGTAAAATAAAGGACTGAAGGATGTCAATGTCGGTGGACAGCAATAAGTCCTTGTTGAGGAAGAGCGATATGAAGCTGGATAACTATCCAACTTGTGCTGTGGAGGCACTTACTCGACTGGGTAAAGTTGCTTAATATTTTAAATCGTGCACATATCTTACGCCTTGATTGCAGAAACATTGATTGCCAGCCGAAACAAGCAGAACATGGTGATGCAAATCATATCGGAGTTTATATTCCTGGAGAGAACCTCGAAGGATGGCGATGTGCGAAAGTCGCAGGCGCTGCCCATTAGCCAGATGAATCTTTTCCAGGAGTTTCAGCTGATCATAGTGCTGATTGAGTACTTTTCGCGGCCAGGAAGGGATGCCACCCGCAACGCCATATTCCTATCGCTTTTCGGAAGCCACTTGACACCGCAGCGATCCAAGTTGTTATGCCGCCTAATCAGCACGGCGGTTTCCGGATCCGTGGCCCCGCTACTTTCCTCTGCCGGTACTTGGATGCAACAGGTGGGTTGCAAGACGCCATTCAGCCTAGAAGTGGCCCAGAATATAGTCAGTGACTTTATTTCGTACTCCCGGAAAACCCCGGAGCAACTCAAGCAGCTGCCCATGGTGGGTACGCACTTTGCGGCCAACTTTATGGTCGCCGTGGCGGATCTATACCTAAATGAGCAGCGTTCGCAGACCCTCAATCCCCCGCCAGATGCTCTACTGGACACTATAACCGAATGGATGACGGAGAATGTCGCCTTGTGTCTGGCTTCGCAGCAGCCTTTGGTACTTCCCGCCGGCGCCATAGCCATGCCATTTACCACTCCCTTAGCAGGCCTGCTTCGATGGGTGGTCCTGGCTCCTTTGGTATCCAACCGTTCCGCCTATAGCAATTTGCATCTATCCCTCCTGCGTGCTCTGCAACAGCTTGTCACCAGTGGAGAATCGACAGCACTGCCCAACCAAGATCTAAGGCAGATCGTAAAATCCCTGCAGAGCTACTGTGCACGACTGGCTGAATCAAATACGGATCCCAAGGCGGATGCTGCGTATCAGAAGTGCATGGAACGGTTCGCCCAAGCTGTGCAAATCGCCCTAATTACCAACTGCATCACCAATCAGATACAACTGCTGTGCCTTTTGGAATCTTTACCTCCACACAAGCTGATGAAAATCGTAATAGAAGCGCACAAAAAGTAGTCGAATGTGAATCAATATAAATTTCATTATAATTTTTAATAATTAATCATTAAGTTCAAATTTATTTTTATAAATGGATTTAAAACGTTATGTGTAACTTTAGTAGTCTTTGAAGCCCAAATGAGTTCCTTTTGATTTAAAGTATACAAGTCGGATCATAAGGGAGCTAGCTTTGACAAGACGAAGTTTATATGAAGGGAAAGGGCAGGACAGTTAACTAGGATTTGTTTGATGGTTACAAAGGTGGCATATGTTGGGGAGGGATTGTGGGCATTGGAAACAAACGAACACACACCTTTAGCTATAATTTTATCAAGAACTTTAGCCAGGCATGGGTTCAGGGATATGGGTCTAGTAGAGATTTTTATGGCTTTAATATAGAAAGGACCAGGCTAACTTTGTAGCCTTGAGAAATGTGAATATTTAGGATATCGTTGAAATGTCTTAGATCTTCAAGGTACTGGGGGTGTTCTGGATCAAGTGATTTGAGGGCGGATACCAGTTTTATGAAAGAAAACTCATTTTCTATTTGGCAGTGTGCTGGGATAAAGACCGCATAGGTGTTTAATATTTGCCGACATTCTCGAAGGATCTGATTTGGGAGGTGAATTTTTGGAAAGAAGGATTTTCCATTTATTTCGACTTTTTTAGTAAAGAAAGTTCCTGGTTCCACAACGGAACTGTGCGGGGGAATGTTGTGTTTTAAGTATTTAAATTAAAATTAAATATGTTATTGCTAAAGAGTGGGTAATTGGGTAAACACTGATTACATGGCTATACCGATTAGGCACTTGATCAAGAATGAATATACTTTATGTGGTTGCCAATGTTCCTGCAAGGGTATTTAAATTGTGAACCTGGGTATATCGAATTGAATTTTTGAAAACACTTCTATCCCGCTCCTTCTTTGATGCTGCCATACTAAACAACATAATTTGCCAGCGCGCATGTCTTTGTGAGTGAACTGTGAGCATTGAACAGGACACACGGGAAAAAATCGATAAAATCCTAGTTTCGAGCTTTCGTCGCAGTGCAAGCTTGTTGAATAGAATCGCAATCCACGGCAGGAAACCTCGGGTGGGGAAGTCATTGGGACATACCATCGAATACCGGACAATGCAATGAATCCCGTACCGAGCCGCGAGTTCCTGGAGGTCCATCCGCTCCACCAGCATCAACCACACTGCAAGCAGCAATGTTTTGTATTCACTGAGATAGCGGACATCGAACTCCCCGCGGAGATAACCAAGTTCGGCGGGGGAAATGAAAAGATTAGGTGCTCCAATGGGGGCATCCCCACCTACAGCTCCAAGAAGGACTCCTGCAGCGAGTCCTCGGCGGAACGACCGGAGAGATCACGAGGACGAAAGATTTTGCTGGGCGTTGGTGTGGTGCTCGTGTGCATCGCCATGGCCGGAGGCATACCGCTGGCCCTCCAGTTACGCTCCTCCTCGCTCCTGGAGGCCCGACTCGCCTTCATCCGCCGCCTGCTGACGGAGTCTCCCCTGATCGAGGGTTCCTGGAAGCCACCGAGCACCATGAGCCTGAACAGCAGCAACCTGTTCGAGGTGCGACAGAATCACATCGGTGCCGTGCTCTGGCCCATTGCTGTGCCGTGTGGAGCTCAGTACCTGGATGCAGTGCAGCTCACTCTGGAGGGCATTGATAGGGCCAAGCGGATTACCGCCGCCACAGACTCCATGCACATTGTAGAATCGGCGGATGAAATGGAGCAGACCCACATCCGCGGCGAGGTGGCTGTTCTCATGGGCATCAGTGGTGGCCATGCTCTGGGCACCAGCACGGCCGTCTTGCGTTCCATCTACCTACTGGGAGCTCGATTCGTGTCGATTACCAGCCTGGAGTGCACCACTCCTTGGGCAGCGGCAGCAATCCGCAGACCCGATTATCTTATTGAGGAAAATGTTACCAATTCTTTCAACGAATTTGGGCAGGTGGGCACAACTCCCTTCGTACATATGCACATTTTCATTTATCCCCCTTTCAGACAATGCTCTTTGAGATGAACCGCCTGGGAATGCTGGTGGAGATTTCGATGCTCAGCGAGGCTGCCATGTTGGCCGTCTTGAAAACTGCCAAAGCTCCTGTTTTACTCACAAATGCCACACCGCTGTCCATGTGCAACAGCAGCAACATAGCTTCCATTCCAGACCACGTTCTCAGGTAAGCTATCATCGAAACAAAGTCCTTACAGGACATCCTTTAAACGCATATAACCCACAGCCTATTGCCGGAAAATGGTGGCGTTATCTTGCTCAACCTGGAGCGCTGTGGCGATCGGACACTGGGCGTTCGTGAGGCCATCACCGCAATCAACTATGTGCGCAAGGTGGCCGGAGTGGATCACATTGGACTTGGGGGAGCTCCCAAAAGCTATGCCCTCCTACTGGCCGAACTGGCAAGGGATAGGGTGTGGGGAAATGCTGCTATTAAGAAGCTGGTTGGGGGAAATGTGATGAGGATTCTGAGGGAGATCGAGACCCTGAAAAACCGATTGCCCTTGTATGAGGAGTGGATTCCGCACGAGTCCATCGAAAGCAATTCCTATTGCCGATATCCCGAGTCTTAAAGTCAGCTTCTTTTGTAGACTCAAGCGATTGTTCTCACATAATTACTAAAATATTTAATTAAATTATTAAAGTACAAGTTAATTGCTGTACATATTAAAAGCCGTAAATAGGTAAGCTATAACCTAGCCAAACACCATTTCAAAATCGATTCAAAAGTTTACATTTGTACATAGTTTATATTTAATGAATATCATTCTAGGTAAATACATATCGGTGTATGATGATATTATAATATTATGATATTATATATGTATGCCTTACAATCTACTAGACCTTCAACGACTATTTTACACTGATGCCAGTTCTAACTCCGAGGGTCAGGGAAATCACTTCTTGCTCGGAAGGATGCTCGTTGGACTCGCGCTTCACGATTCTCTTCGACAGAAGGTCATCCTCGTCAAGTTTCAACTCGCGCTTGACCCTTGAGCCCTCGACTTCGTCATCGTCGAGCTCGAAGACATTGTTGTCGGTGAATGCCAAGTGATTGATTTCGTTGAAGAACAGCGTCTTCGCATTTCGAATAGTTCTATCGTAGCCAGGATCACTCAGTGGCGGCAGATATGTGGCTGGAATTCGGCTTGTGCCCCTGTATCCGGAGTCGGGGCAACGTGGATCGATGGACCCTGGGTAGCAGTACACCGGCGTGGTTCCGGCAGTCGGAGGTCTGGAAGTTGTTCCTGGCAGGCACTCGGGATCTGATGATCCTGGATAACACCTTGGTCTAGGTGTCGTTGGCGGTTTCTGGGGACAGCGACTATCCGTGGAACCGGGGTAACAGTTGGGCTTGGACGTAGTTAAAGGAGCTCTTGTCGACGGAGGAGCATATGTGGCAGGTTGACACTTAGGATCGGTGGAACCAGGATAGCACCTGCTAGCAGTTGTCGGTGGAAGATAAGTAGCGGGCTGGCAAGAGGAATCATCCGAGCCCGGATAGCAGCGAGGCTTGGATGTAGTGACAGGTGCTTTAGTTATTGGAGGCGTGTATGTAGCTGGCTGACAATCTGGGTCATTGGAGCCCGGATAACATCTTGGCCTAGCCGTCGGACTCGGTGTCCTGGCCGTTGTCGGTGGGAGGTAAGTAACGGGTTGGCATTCAGGGTCCTTTGAGCCGGGGTAGCACCTAGGTCTCTGTGTAGTTTCTGGCGTCTGTGGACAGCGTGTATCCCTCGAGCCCGGATAGCAATTTGGCCTGGATGTAGTTACTGGAATTTTTGTAGTCGGAGGCGAATAAGTTGACGTTGTTGTAAATGGCGTCCTCAAGGTTGTGGGCTGAGTTGGTTGCGGACACCTAGGATCAGTTGATCCCGTGTAACAATTGGGCTTAGGTGCTTTTGTAGTTGAAGGAGGCAAGTACGTGGCTGGCTGGCATCTTGGATCATCTGAGCCTTCCGAACATCCCACCCTCCTTGTGGTTGGTACTTTCGGACATCTGGGATCAGGCGAACCAGGGTAGCAATTCAGACACTCCGGATCTAAGGATCCAGGGAAGCATTTGGGCGGCGAAGTAGTGGGTGGCTTCTGTGGACAACGACTATCCGTGGATCCAGGATAACAATTTGGCTTGGGGGTCGTAGGAGGCGTCCTTGTTGTTGGTGGCTGGCAATAAGGATCGCTTGAACCAGGATAACACCTAGGCTGGGTTGTGGGAATTGTTTGCCGTGGTGTGGTAGGCTGACAGTCGGGATCTGTAGACCCTGGGTAACATTTTGGTCTTGGCGTCGTTTGGGGCTGCTGTGGGCACCGACTATCTGTTGATCCCGGATAACAGTTTGGTTTCCTCGTAGTTACAGGCGTTCGAGTTGTCGGTGGCAAGTACGTTGTGGGCTGGCAGCTGGGATCACTGGAACCCGTATAACACCTTGGTCTAGTTGGAGGAATAGTTGTCCGTGCGGTTGTAGGCGGAAGGTACGTTGCGGGTTGACATTCAGGATCCGGTGAACCGGGATAGCATCTAGGTTTCTGTGTTGTTACGGGTGCCTGTGGGCAGCGTTTATCTGTGGAGCCTGGATAGCAGCTTGGCTTGGATGTTGTCAAAGGCGTCCTTGTAGTTGGAGGCACGTAAGTTGCTGGTTGACATTCAGGGTCCCTTGAGCCAGGATAACATCTGGGTTTCAGGGTAGTTATTTGCGATCTAGATGTCGGTGGGGAATATGTGGCTGGTTGACACTCGCGATCAGTACTTCCCGGATAGCACCGTGGTCTGGATGTAGTTAATGGTGTCCTTACTGTGGTAGGTTGAGTTGGTTGCGGACAACTAGGATCTGTAGATCCTGGATAACATCTCGGCTTGGGCGCAATAGTGGGGGGCCGACGGGACGAGGGAGGTAAATAGGTAGCGGGTTGACATCTCGGATCATCGGAACCATCAAAGCATCCTGCTTTCTTTGTGGTTGGAATTTTTGGACATCTTGGATCGGGCGAACCGGGATAGCAATTGAGGCACTCAGGATCTGACGAGCCAGGAGAGCACTTGGGTTGCGGAGGGCAACGACTATCCGTAGAGCCTGGATAACAGTTAGGCTTGGATGTAGTTACAGGTGTTCTTGTTGTGGGAGGCGAATAAGTAGTCGGTTGGCATTCTGGGTCACTGGATCCCGGATAACACCTTGGCTTCGAAGTAGGAATAGTGGTTCGTCTGGTTGTTGGTGGAAGATAGGTTGCGGGTTGACACTCAGGATCCGGAGAGCCCGGATAGCATCTGGGCTTCGATGTAGTGATAGGTGGTCTTGAAGTCGGTGGAGAATACGTTTTTGGTTGACAGCTGGAGTCAGTTGATCCAGGATAACACCTTGGCTTGGTTACTGGGATGGTAGTTGATGCAGTTGTTGGGGGAAGATACGTGGCTGGCTGACACTCAGGATCTGTGGATCCTACAGAACATCTTGGTTTTTGAGTTGTTGGTGGCTTCTGGCGGCAACGAACATCTGTTGATCCCAAATAACAAATAGATTTCGATGTGGTTATCGGTGTTATAGTTGTTTGACGAGGCTGGCACTCTGGATCACTGGATCCTGGATAACATCTTGGCGTAACCGTAGTAGTCGTCGTGGGTGGCAGGTATGTTGCAGGCTGACACTGTGGGTCAGTTGAGCCAGGATAACATCTAGGCTTTGGTGTAGTCACTGGTATCTGCGCGCATCGTTTGTCTGTCGAGCCGGGATAACAATTTGGCTTCGATGTAGTCACAGGCCTTGTCGAGGTTGCTGGTTGACATTCGGGGGCCCTAGATCCTGGATAACATCTAGTAGTTGTAGGTATCGGAGTCGTGATTGGTTGAGTTGGTTGTGGACATCTGGGATCTGTAGATCCTGGGTAGCATCTGGGTTTGGGTGCAATTGTAGGAGGACGACGAGATGATGGTGGCAGATACGTGGCTGGCTGACACCTTGGATCTTCTGAACCGTCAAAGCATCCCGATTTCTTTGTGGTAGGAACTCTGGGGCATCTCGGATCAGGGGAGCCAGGATAACAATTCAGGCAGTCAGGATCTGAGGAACCAGGATAGCACTTCGGTTTTTGAGTAGTAGGAGTAGTAGGTTTCTGGGGACAACGACTGTCGGTGGAGCCTGGATAACAACTTGGCTTTGATGTAGTCGCAGGTGTTCTAGTTGTAGGAGGTGAGTACGTAGTTGGCCTAGTTGTAGGAATTGTGGTAGGAATTGGAGGTAGGTATGTGGCCGGTTGACATTCTGGGTTTGGTGAGCCAGGGTAGCACCTAGGCCTTGGTGTTGTTACGGGTTCCTTTGGACAGCGTCGGTCTGTTGAGCCCGGATAGCAATTTGGCTTTGATGTAGTTACGGGTATTCTGGTCGTCGGAACAGTTGGAACTGTGGTTCTAACAGATGCTGGTGGAAGGGAAGTTGAAGGCTGACACTCGGGGTCTACAGATCCCGGATAGCATCTTGGCTTGGAGGTGGTAATTGGTGGCCTAGTTGCAGGTCGGCATCCAGGTTCCTGTGAGCCTGGATAACAGCTCGGCTTAGCTGTTGTCAAAGGAACTCTAGTTGTCACAGGTACTCTAGTTATCGGAGGCGTGTAAGTAGCTGGCTGACATTCGGAATCAGTAGATCCTGGGTAGCACCGTGGTCTAGCTGTGGAAGTTGTTGGCCGAGTAATTTGAGGGCATGCTGGATCTTTTGATCCTGGGTAGCACCTTGGCTTGGGTGCAATTGTAGGAGTCCGCTTTGTTGAGGGCGGTAAGTAAGTGGCAGGCTGACACCTGGGATCATCCGATCCATCAAAGCATCCTGCCTTTTTCGTGGTTGGCACCTTAGGGCACCTGGGATCTGGTGAACCAGGGTAGCAATTAAGACACTCCAGATCTGTTGAACCCGGATAGCACTTGGGCGGCGTTGTAGTAGGTGGCTTTTGTGGACAGCGACTGTCGGTGGATCCAGGATAACAATTCGGTTTTGTTGTTGTTGGTGGCTGACAATATGGATCGCTTGAACCAGGATAACACCTTGGCTTGGTAGTAGCAATCGTTGTCCTTGCTGTAGACGGTGGAAGGTAAGTTGCAGGTTGACAGCCAGGATCGGAGGATCCCGGGAAACACCTAGGTTGTTGCGTAGTTCGCGGTGTTTGCGGGCAGCGACTGTCTGTTGAACCCGGATAACAGTTTGGCCTAGACGTGGTTATCGGCCTTCGAGTTGTCGGAGGTTGACAACTAGGATCCCTGGAGCCCGGATAACACCTTGGCCTCGACGTTGTAATTGTCGTTCGAACCGTAGTGGGTGGGAGAGTGGTAGCAGGCTGACATTCAGGGTCCTTTGAGCCAGGATAACATCTGGGCTTTGATGTCGTAACGACCTCTTGTGGGCAGCGCCTGTCTGTCGAGCCCGGGTAACAATTTGGCTTGGAGGTAGTTACGGGCCTCCTAGTCGTTGGTGGTTGACATTCGGGATCATCGGAGCCTGGGAAACACCTAGGCCTAATAGTAGTAATAGCTGTCCGAGTTGTGGTTGGTGGAGTTTGTTGCGGACAACTGGGATCCGTTGATCCAGGATAACACCGTGGTCGGGGTGCAATTGTCGGTGGTCGACGAGTCGAAGGTGGTAAGTAGGTAGCGGGCTGACATCTGGGGTCATCTGAACCATCATAGCATCCTGCTTTCTTTGTGGTTGGCACTTTGGGACATCTTGGATCGGGAGAACCCGGATAGCAATTGAGGCACTCTGGGTCGGATGAGCCGGGATAGCATTTTGGCTGTGGAGAACTGATTGGCTTCTGAGTTACACGCGTTGGGGGTTGACAGGAGGGATCTGGTGATCCAGGATAACACTTAGGTCTTGGAGTTTGTGGGCAACGAGTATCCGTTGAGCCTGGATAACAATTTGGCTTTGATGTTGTTAGTGGGACTCTGGTTGTTGGTATTGGGGTTCTTCTTGTTGTTGGTGGAAGATAAGTAGCAGGCTGACACTCAGGGTCAGTGGATCCTTGATAACATCTTGGCAGCGATGTGGTAATCGTTGGCCTTGTTCTCGGTTGACAGTCGGGATCTGTTGATCCCGGGTAACAACGTGGCCTCTTCGTAGTAATGGGAGCTTTCCTCGTTGTAGGCGGAATATAAGTTGCCGGCTGACATTCGGGGTCATCGGAGCCTGGATAGCATCTTGGCTTCATTGTGGTAATAGGTGTCCTTGTTGCCGGTTGACAAATAGGATCTGTTGATCCTGGATAGCAACGCGGCTTGGGCGAAGACCTCCTTGTGGTTGGTGGCAGATAAGTAGCTGGTTGACATTCCGGATCCCTTGATCCGGAAAAACACCTTGGCTTTGGTGTTGCCGGCGGCGTAACGCGACAGCGAGGATCAGTTGAGCCCAAAGCACAACTGGATCGGGATGTAGTCTGCGGAGTTTCCGCACAGCTTGGATCATTCGATCCAGGATAGCAGCGTGGACCTGGCGTAAATGTTGAGGCTATTGGTATTCTGATCGTTGTGGGTGGTGGCGATGTGGGCTTTGGGCAGCCTGGCTCTCTGGAGCCAGGATAGCAGCGAGGCTTCGATGAAATTAGATGGTCCTGCAGGCACTGAGGATCAGTTGATCCTTCAGGACATGGCAACGCCCTCAGACTACCGCAGGTGTAGTCCCTTTTACACGCTCCATTGCAGAGTTCAATGTCACACTTCAGATAAACCTGAGATCTGTCGGGGAACCTAAATGCCTTAAGTGTATTATAGTAGGTGGATGTAAGACTGGAGCCCGCCTCAAACTTTCGCCACTCCCCAAATATTTTCTCCTTTATCGAGCAACCCCTTTTGTCCGATAGTTGCAACCTCTTCGTCGTTCTGGCCTCAAAGTCCATGTCATCGGAGGCATAACATTGTAGTATGTTTATATCCCATGCCTGTTCCGAGTGCTTCACGTTGATGGTGAATGTAATGTCGGTTCCCAGGGTGAGAGTGCCCTGAATGGGTTTAATATTGGGAGGAGCTCCCGTGCCGATTTCCATCCAGCACTCTACCGGACCACTTGGTGTATCCACCGATATAACCTCGAGCATGTCCACTACAAATGGCTTGAAATAAACAGTCTTCTCGCGCTCATCACCTCGACTGCACGATATTTTCCGCGCTATATCGAAGCTATTTTGTATGTCCCTGTCATCCTGGATGATCAGGATGTTCTCGATTGAGGCGCAAACGGAGCACGAGGGTTTGCTGCCACATCCATCGTATGGCACTGTGAAAGTGAAACTGCGTCCCGATCTTTCGCCCTTCACGTAGCTAATTAATGAATTTAAAATAGTAGTTAAAGAGGGTACACAGGTATCAATGGCTTATACCCACTTGCACTTGGGGTCGTTGAAGTATCCCTGACTGTAGATGACTCCCTCGAAGTCCTCGGAGAACTCCACTTCGACCATCATGCCATTACCCTGGTCGCATTTCACATCGATCTTCTCGATGTGCTTGGCCGACAGAGAAGTGTCGCGAGTTAATCTGGGCGAGGAGTCGTCAAACTCAAGTTCGCCCAAGACGTCATTGAGCGTCTCATCATCACTCAGATCAGTGCCCCAAGTGGTGACCTTGACAGTTACGAAAAATAATCACCAATTTAATGATTTCTAGATGGAAATCGGTCGGTGTACTTACCAAGAGCAAGGCCCACACGAAAATGTGGCCGATGTTGACCATCTTAAATGTAAGTCTTTAGCTTTATTCTGAAAAACAGCCAATTAAAGTGTATAAATATATGATTATGGAGTATACTAGAATCAGTTTATGGTCCTCCGAATTGAACAGTTTAATTTATTGCCCATTTCATTGTTAATAAACACACATATTTCACTCAATATTTCTTGTTTTAACCATTACACATATTAATATATTAGATTGTTGACCTATAGCTCAGGACTTGTGTTAAAGGCTGACTCAGTTAACGATGTTAAAAATTAACCAGAAAATAAATGCTTTATTAAAAACAAGATAATATTTCTGTTTGCAGTTTTGTAAATTAAGTTTATGGCCAGTTCGGTGCTTTGGCGGTAGTTTAATAGCCGGAATAACCTTCCACCTTTGGTTGACTCATTATCAAGATCTGCGAAAAGGGCGCGTTCGATGGGATCAAAGAAAAATAAGTACATATATCACAGCATGAAGGTGACGAAAAATAAATTCACCGAAAATCCAGAGGTTTATTTGCATATGTCGCGCTTGTCAAGCGATCTCTAGCGCTAGATGAGGTAAGATCTTCTTTATCGCTAATTACGGTTGAGTGCAACCTGTCGAGTATTTGCACGAGCTCCAAACAGCCGGACCTCTTTTGCCCGACGAATGGAGGGTGCTGCACCAGCGCCACTAAAACGGGTTTGGTTTTTAAATAATACAACTAACCTTTGAAAGCGAAAAAACAAATGGGAAAAAATGCTGCGGATTTCAAAATCCATAAATCCAAGACCCGCGCACGAAGGGAGCAGGGCAGAGAAACAACTAGTGACGAGTGCCTATTTGCTTAGCCGCAGTTGATAAAGAGGCTTCGATTTGGATTTGGGCATTGGGCCTTTGTTTGGCATTGGCTTCTGCAATCCGACGGCTCTCGGCTCCTCTTGTTTTTGCCATCTCGCCATTGATGTTAGGCCCCGGATGATTAGGTGCTTTTTCATTGTGGCCCCTTTTGTCTAGGTTATTCCACGCATTAAGCAAACGAGGGGCTAAAAACTACCATTTGATTACGGATGATTTGGCGTCGAAAGCCTTCTGTTTTTGTTCTTACGTCACTAGGTAGAATTCAACACTTATTCTCGAATAAATCGTACACTAATCGCAAGACCCCGGGCTTAAAAAATAGTACGTTTTATCAAGTTAATAGTTTCGAATTGTTGAGTATTCTCAAGGGTCTTCCCTTTCCCCGAAATGAAAACAACTGCGACTCGCTTGTAAATACAAACACCTGAAATTTAGCAAGAGGTCCAGTAGATTTGGAGTGACGAAACACCGCCCATTCATACATCCGATTCATATTCAACACGATTAATGTGGTATCTCTTTTGCTCCCTGCTTTCCGTTCGCTTAATCTTCAACGACCCAATTTTTGGGTTTTTGGAGGTTCGATAGCTCAGCTTGCAGGTTATTTTGTGGTTGTGTTTGATATGACTACATAATAATGCCCAATTTGATGAAAATTGGTTCACCATGTCAAAAATTGCTCATTTATTTTTGCCATATTTTTATGTTCGACAGTTATCATGAATAGGTATTTGCTCCGCAAGATTAATAGTCGGTCATTTATTTAATTGCAATACAAACACCTTAAAGTTTGTAGTTGCTGCGCCTGAAAACTTCCGACAAACTTTAGAACTCGGGGGGATATGAGTACTTATAGGTACACGATGATCATTCTATAATTGGGCAATTATGTCTTTGAAAAGGCATTATTGATTTGGGCGATGGGGGTGTCGAAATGTGAAGTTAGATAGAATGGGTGATCCCGAGTGTCTGCGCAGTTTGCCAGCAATCATATTCAATTGTATTGGCCAACGATTGAGCGTGAATAAACACAACTTGGACATTGATGGCTTCACCCTGAACTTTTGACATTTCAGCGGCTCGCATAGGCGTATATCTTCGTATTAATCACGGCGAACAGGTGATTAGACCGCGGGCTTCAATACGTATGCATATAGACAGATTTGAGTATTATACTGCACTCGTATGTGCAAACTATACACCAAATCCGCGAGTGATCTCCTCCAGCGATTGATTTAACCGACATTCCATGTCTGGGTTCTCATGGCTTGGATCCAATGCACTGACAAATGGGTGAAATGCGCTATCTTGCATTGTGGCTATCAGTTATGGGCACATCTGGATTTATTTATGGCCAATTTTGGATAGGCGCCGATTTGGTAGCATGATCGCTCATTTTCAAATAGGCATGTTATGAACAATCTAATTTACATTTTTGTGCGCCATTTAATTGGGTATTTATGGGCACTTTGCATATATTACCAAGTGCCGACCATATTTTTGCTCGCCCCACAAGGAGCTAGCTTTTTTTTTATTTATAAAGCTTTTATAAAGCTAGCTGATTTCAGAAACAATGCCTTCTTAATTTAAGAACTTGTGATTTCTCTTTCGAGGTGCTTAACTAAGTGAAACACAGTTAGCAGTTTTGACACATTAATAACGAAATGCAAATGGCATTCAAGCACCGGATCTGCGAAACTTGTTTCTCGTTTAAACTAATTACAAAGAAATGCAAAAAACGGGTAAACGGACTTACGAAAAGAATGCTTAAATCAATTGATCTTCTCCGAAACTCATTTTTACAAATATAAGAAATATACGCAGTTAGAAACAGCGAGATTTTATGAAGCGTATTATTTCGGGTTTAACCTGAATAATCGATGTTTATTTTTACGGCTTTACGATTCTGTCATATAGTAACTTTTTCTGGATTTGGAGAGGATATAATTACATGCGTCACAGTCATTCCACTTTCTACTTTTTAACACGAATATCTATATATGATAGCCGGCTTAATGTATATACAAGGTCAAATCTGCGTGGGTCATAATGGAAAAAAACAGATAATTATTTAAGTTTGGGGACTGCCAAAATTGCCAATTTCTAATTAAAATTTCTGAAATGCTTAAGCTTTATTTTTAACTGATTTAAATATATACATTGTGTAATACACAGTATATAAAATATGGAAAAACAGATAATACTTTAACTTAGGGGTTGTTATATTGAGCAATTTTTATAATTTACAATTTACTTTATTTTTGTACTGATTTTAAGTATGTCACTGAAGCTTTAAGCAGTAACCATAAAATGTTTGAATTATTTGAAAAGTATTTTAAAAGGATATTTTTTGAAATATGTCGTATATGTTTAGACGCATCCACACTTTAAGACTGTTTTTTTTTTTCAAAACATTCCAACTCTGCTCATCTACTGAAAGTTAATGAGTGAATCCTTCCATATTTATGTTCATTTCAATCAAGTTCTTGAGTAAGCACTGAGTTCACTTTGGACCATTCACACACTCGTAGGTAATTGAATCGATTCACATTTCTGGCCTTAATTTACGGCTCTTGAAGTTGGGCACATAAAATCACTAAATGCTTTTCGTAGTGGAACACATTGACCAATTAGTCGGCCATCATTCAGAAGATAACCACTGGACCCCTCGGACTTACTGCACTGGCTGGTGGACTTGGCTTGGGGAAAATCTGGCTGGGATGCAGCTGGCGAAGTGGACGATGCCGCACTAAGCGCCAAAGAGACTCGTCTTCGTTTATATACACACACGGCGTATGATTTAACAAAAATCGTTTCGGATATTGCCTCAAAAATCCAAAGACGCGGCAAGTAAAATAAAACGGCAACAAAAACAGAAACGGAAAATAAAAAACAAAAAAAAAAGAAAATAATACAACCAATGCTAGTAGCTCAATATATTTGTTGTTGTTTATTTTACGTCGCTCGTGGTTTTATACACGCACACTCAACTAAATCGGGTAGTACGATTTATTGGCAGGTTGTGATTATTTATTCGCCGCACTGAACGGGTAACATACGAAATGGATTTAGATTAAATTTATCTTCTAAGCTGCATTGAAATAACTAAACAGTACCCGCTTTCAAGTGAAGTTCCAAATGTCAGAGGTCATCTGATGAAACACTTCACTTAATATACTTCAATTTGTTTGCCGAAATAAACAAGTTATAGGATCCCGGGTTTTATAGCCGCTTTTGGGACTTGATCAAAGCTTAAATTTAAGATGTTAAGATAACGTTAATATAAGATAATTCAAGTTAATGTTAAGATAAAACCAATTAGGTGAATGATAAAATATTTATAACATGTAAGTGCCATCAGACCAACCACAATATATAAGCTATAAGGATGTTTGGATAGATTCTGCAATAGGTGTTCTTAATAGGAACGTAAAGTGCATGATTTTCATTTGGATTTTAGGCCCATCTGTGGGTCAAGGTCACCGAAGTATCCGGGATCTGTACCTAAGGGCTTAATAATCAATCTTTTCAGGGGCGTGAGCGTTGCATCATGTCACCATCATTAATTTAAGCATTTTTAAATTGATTGCTCAGAGTTAGAGCATCCAGTAGCCCAGCGCCTGGAGCCAATTATTTCCTCCATTCATATGGAGTTCGTGGGCAGCGAGACGCGTGAGCACCGTCCACACGCCGTCTTTCCTAGCCATTTTAGCCATTTGAGTCGCCGTCTTAGCCATCTTGACCCAAGCGCGCGACTGGCACATTTTGTAGCTAGCTGAAAAATGAAAACCAAAAACTAACAACTGAAAACTGAAAACTGAGCTGAAAAACTGCACCTTCGTCGGCGCGCTTTTAGGGCCAAAGAGTCAAAATCCGTCATTGCAACTACCTGTACTACATGATGTGGGATCGAAGGGGCGGGGAACTGGGACTTTGGCCATATGGAGATGGAGGTGCGATGGAGATGTTGTCATGCAACTACAGCCGGCATTGCGGACAGGTTGACGACGAATCCGGAGCCGATGCCCATGCCGTTGCCGATGCCGATGCGCCTGGTCATCCCTAACAGGTATTAGTATTCAAAGTTTTGGAAGCCCAGCGTCCGCTTCGTGATGCTGATAGATTTTCGCAGCCAAATGGCAACGGTCATGGCGAGATGGCTATGGCGATGGCGATGGTGATAGTGGGCTGTCGCCATGGGAAGAATACGGATGGAGACAGATGGTAGGGTAATTCCCTTAGCCACCGTCACATGGCTAGGCCGAACCCGAATCCGTATCCATATGCATGCACGATCTGCATCGCGATGCCAGAGGTGCCACAGACGAACATCACGTATTCCAGGTTGCCAGTGGATGATACCTGGTACTGGGAACTGGACTAGCATTTTTGTTATAAGTCTGGAACCTTCCCAAAAGGGTCTTTCCTTAAAGAAGGGCCTGTATCTTAAGCTTCAGCGTCTAAAAGTATTTTTAAAGTTGCCTTTAAAGATATGATATCATGAAGAAATTCAACTAGTATTGAATGCAAGTTCTTATAATTCATTCAATAATTCGCTTTTTCAGAAACATATACATATATGAAGTCAAGTCACTCAGCTACGAATTTAAAATTGGCTTTCACTGCCCAAAGAGTAACTCCCATTCGACTAAAAAGTACATTTTCATGTTCACTAATAAACTAAGCCTAATGCATTGCATTAAAGTTTCGTTGATTAGGCTTTTCAAAACATAATAAAGTGTTGTGGGCTTATGCTTAAAAATACCAACTTATGTTCAATGGAAAACATAATTTTGGTGTTCATAAAGGGTGAGACAACCTATCTATCCTATATTCTTGCCTTCATTTGGCGCCAGTGACAAATCAAATTCGTGCTCAGAAATTTTGTTATTACCGGACATTGTTGGCTACAAAGAAATAGGCAAAAGTAAACCTCACTTGTTCGCCTACAAGTTTTGATAGTGCGGACACACCTCGTGGAGATTAAAATTAATTTCAGTGGTCAACAGACATAAAATAATAAAACAACTTACTGGATGTTTGTTTTTAAATTTGTACTTAATTTCCTTATTTTGGTACATGCTTAATGTGTTGGCATAAAATTTTGAAAGACGCTCAGGCTAAGATAAACGATAATTTTGTACACCATTATTCTAATCATCAACACATATAAAAATTGAGTGTAATACCAATTTGTTTGAAATGGTTACAGTAATTTAATTTCCGGTTTTGTCGTACAAACACAATCAAGCTTTTGACCGAAGCTAAGTGGCCTTCAAAAGTATGCTCCATTATTAGAAAATATATACAAATATTTTACTTCCGATTGAACGGAATTAAATTGTATACTTTGTGGGGCCCTACATCTATTAAACATTGTTTTAGGGCTCAACTAAAAATTTAGATAGTTGTTAATAGATTATACAACGCATTGAAATGAAAACGATATTATTCAAAAATATTCAAATTCAGAAATATTAAAAAAAATAAAATTTCGAGAATCGTTAAGGCATTGTTTTACTAGCGGAAGGAAAATTATTGAGTGTAACAATATTTTCGCACTTCAAAGAAAGCTCGGTGACGAAAGCTACCTCCTGCCACTGAGCTTTCGAATTTGATGCAAAAATCGATACAGTCACAGCTGTTTGTGTACAACAAGTGAAAGTGTCCCGAGTGCGGCATAAAATAATTCGTGGAATACGCCTCAATATCCCTAAAGTTAGACCCTTCAAGTGGCCTTAGAGGCGCGAGTTCCTTTCCACGCGGTTTCCAGCGACTCAACCAGGATGCCGAGCTCACGACGTGCGATCCTGAGGCACATATTGTCGGGGATTTGCACCAAGATGAACCGCACCAAGTCGGTGCCCACTGACGTCATGGAGACGCCGCTGAACCGATGTCTCAACACCTTCGACATCGCTCTTTTGGGTACTTTAAGTTAATCAATGAGTAACCGTTTTGCTTTTTTAGTTTCCCACTCGATTGGGGAACAATATGTTGGGATTTCGATGCGTTCATGCGAAACATCTGCTATCTTGAAGTTCAGAGTTGGGGGTACTTAAAGATACATTGTAGACATTATGGTTTTTGGATTTGAGCACGTTGAATGTTTAAGTGTCTAAGCGTTTTTAAACAAGTTTTACGGGGCTACACGCGCTGTTTTCGGCCAAAGACAAGCCACTATTAATACAAAATGACTTGCTAAACATCGAACGTCTGTTAAAAAAATTCCCTAAGCTGTTTGTATTATGTATCGAAAATATATTTTAAACAACGCACAAGGTTAACAAGCCCTGATACTCCATATCACATAATGCACAAGAAAGTTAAGCTGTAATTGGTCTTCAATCCCCTAGAGATTTCCAAAGATTCTAAAACCCTCCACCTAGGAATAAAACATGATTTCCCTTATCTTCACTCCCTGACATCTAAATTATTGCTTTACAAGAACCAGAAATTGGAAGCAAGACTATCTATACATAAACTATATATACCCGTATATATTTACTCCAGGCATTGGCCATATGGTTGGCGCTGGCATCTATGTGCTGACTGGAACTGTGGCCAAGGAAATGGCCGGACCCGGGATCATATTATCCTTCGTTCTGGCCGGATTTATATCGATGCTGGCCGCGCTGTGCTACGCGGAGTTCGGAACTCGAGTGCCCAAGGCGGGATCGGCCTATGTGTACACGTACATATCGATGGGTGAGTTCTGGGCCTTCGTCATCGGCTGGAATATCCTGCTGGAGCACATGCTCGGAGCAGCTTCGGTGGCCAGGGCCTGGAGTGGATACGTGGATTCAATGCTGGGCGGCTGGATTGGGAACACAACTCTGGAGCTCACGGGAGGCATCCATGAGCCCGGCTTGGCCCAATACCCCGACGTCTTGGCCTTCCTGGTCTGCATTGTTTATGCGGCTGCTCTGGCCGGAGGAGTGAAGGCCACGGCGGTGTTTAACAGTCTCCTAACCCTCGTCAATATCGCCGTTATGGTGCTGGTCATCAGCGTGGGATTCTGGTATGCGGATGGCAAGAATTGGTCCGAGGCTGAAGGTGGATTCCTGCCCTACGGCGTTGGAGGAGTCATCGCAGGTGCAGCCACCTGTTTCTACGCCTTTGTGGGTTTCGATTCCATAGCCACTTCCGGTGAGGAGGCCAAAAACCCATCGGTATCCATACCCGTGGCCACTGTGATCTCTTTGTTCGTGGTGACGGTGGGCTACATCCTGGTCAGCGCCGCCCTGACCCTCATGATTCCCATCAGTGCAATCAATCCGGCTGCCTCATTGCCGGAGGCATTTGGACAATTGAACCTCTCCTGGGCTAAGTACCTGATCTCCATAGGAGCTCTGTGTGGAATGACCACCACCCTGCTGGGATCCCTGTTTGCCCTGCCACGCTGCATGTACGCCATGGCTTCGGATGGATTGCTCTTCAGCTGCTTCGGCAAGATTAACCCCACTACCCAGGTGCCACTGCTGAATCTCATGGTATCCGGGGTAATGAGCGCCTGCCTCGCCTTGGTTTTCGATCTGGCCAAGCTGGTGGAGTTCATGTCCATTGGCACTTTGTTGGCCTATACCATTGTCTCGGCCAGTGTGATCATCCTGCGATATCGTCCTATGGAGCGAATTCATACCACGATAAGGGTTCCCGCGGTGGCTGGAAGCCCTGACGACGATGACGATGATGACGAGGATGTGGCATCCCAGTCCAGCATGGATACGTCCTCGCCGACCAGTGAGATGATAGAGGAAGTC